TATTACAGTTGTTTACGTGTCGCGGAATCTATGGGTGCAAGTGGTTGTTACAATGTGTATATTACAGTTGTTTACGTGTCACGGAATCTATGGGTACAAGTGATTGTTACAATATGTATATTACAGTTGTTTACGTGTCACGGAATCTATGGGTACAACTGATTGTTACAATGTGTATATTACAGTTGTATACATGTCGCGGAATCTATGGGTACAAGTGGTTGTTACAATGTGTATGTTACAGTTATACCGTAGGGGTGTGGTCATGTTATCAACATCCACAAATAACTACCTCTGGCTAGTCTATACCACAACACACTGTACACTAGACAAATCATCGTTCTGTACAGATGTACGTACAGTGTACACCTTACCTGAGATGGTACAGATGGTTTGAACACAGAGACGGCGAGAGCAACTTTCACCTGGCGGATACCTGTAATCCTAGTTTCGGTTTCACCCGACTTCCGTTTAATCAGTGTATTTTACGTGCGCGTATGTGATTAACGTATGATAAGGCCAGAATAACACTCGCCCCCAACCCCTCTCCCATACAGTCTAACGTCAGTAGAACGCTGTTGTCATCCAGTAACAGTATTTAAATCTACGTTATCAACGCTGTATTCAATAGAAGCTTATCTACATTGGAGATACATATTTTCCTCTGTAACAATGTCTCTTATATATACGTTTTACAATTTTGATTAAAAAGAAACTTTCAGCAATCGTCAGCAAGAGATGTTCATTTCCAAACAAAGTTGATCTTGAATCCGAAGACTGGAAGATCATTCATCCCCAGAAGTGTTAGACTGCATCATGTAAATAGCTGAAAATAAATTAACTGAGAGGTATTAACACAAGCAGTGACAATAGGTGAGCTGGGAGCAGGGTTCTCAAACTAATCGCCAATTCGTGTGGCAACCTATTTTTCGGTTGTGTAGTTTGAGTGAGTGAGTGAGTGAGTTTTACGCCGCTTTTAGCAGTATTCCATCACTATCACGGCGGGGGACACCAGAAATGGGCCTTAACATATTGTACCATGTGGGGAATCGAACCCGGGTCTTCAGTGTGATGAGCGAACGCCTTAACCACTAGGATACCCCATCGCCCGGTTGTGTTGAACCTAAGATAACTCGAACTCCCTTCGAGTTCCACACACCATTGTTTGATTGTTGTTTCTTTTGCTTTTTACACTATATGAACTTACGTCTTAGAAGCCCTCATCTCTATCAAAGGTTAGCTGTGATATTTGTAGTTGTACATGTTTACCTTTCTAAACTGTCAGCTGAACGAGACTGGAACATAAACATCAATTCAAACATTGAATCTGATCGAATCTATTTCATGATTGTATCGTCCGACTCTGACCAGTCTGTAAAGTGTACCTTAGGTGCAAAATCCCTTGAGACTTGTCTTCAATTAAAGTTGACGGCCCTGTAAATGTTTATTTTAGTAGTAGCTTTTTGTCCATAGACACGACACGTTGCAATGCATAACTACGTGTGGTATAAATACATTATCCACCAACTGTATGATACTGGGGCACAAGGTGTTAAGGTCGTCCAAGCGGCCACGTTTCACGTTTTTTTGGACCAAACCTCCTCTATTTAGGTATCGCTTTCGCGGGAACGATCAAGCTACAGTGAACACCGAATTTAGCGTTCCCGGGACTCTCAATACACAAGAAAAACAAAGAAATGTGAGTCGTCGCCTGATACCGTAGTCATGGTAGAAATTTGATAAATAACTTGACTTGCTTGATAACGGTGTTAGTTCCTTCAAAAAGAAACGTCGCACTCATTGCAATAAAGAAGTTGACTTTCCATAGAACTTGGTTTTCCTACAATGTACATACTTTATATGTGGAATGTTCCTGTGTATTTCTATATCTCTGCATCTACTGTTAGTACATACATTGTATAGTTTATAGAATTTTGCCACTGTTCCTTCATGGAACATTAAAACAGCTGCAGCTGTATCATATTATAGGTGAGGTCGACTACTTTTTGACCGACCCTCGTAAGTAAGACTTGTCCTGGTGTTGATTGTTTCGTAAATGTCAGTCAGTCTTCCGCATACATAAATGTAGTTCTCCCAAAGGGACCTTTCTGATGATGGCGAGTTCGGCAAAGGACGTCGAGAAAGATAAGAGAAGATAAGATAAGATATTTATTGCATAGCATTCCATGAAGACTGCCTGACTGAGTTTGGTTTTACGCCGCTTTTAGCAATATTCCAGCAACATCACGGCGGGGGGACACCAGAAATGGGCTTCACACATTGTACCCATGTGGGGATTCGAACCCGGGTTTTCGGCGTGACGAGCCAACGCTTTAACCACTAGGCTACCCCACCGCCCCGTTTCCATAAACAAACAGTGGCAATATTCTATAAGCTACAAACATAAACACAGCAGGTACAAGAAATATAGATACATTTCACACATAAACGATGTACATTATAACATTGTTTTTAAGAAATCATGTGGTATAATGACAAGGAAATAATATATGAGGAGACTATGGTAAGATATAGAATTGATAAAGTTGTAAATATGGTGACATATTTTGGAAATTAATTCAGGACTTCTGTTCGTGAAAATTATTAGGAATTGTTCTTTTTTTTGAGAGTGTAGTAAATTCTTGGTCATAATAAAGCATTGTGTGTATAAGTGATTCCCTTTCTTCGCTGTAGTTGGTACATGATATTACATGGTGTTGCTCATCGTCTAAGACACTGCACATTTCACAGAGACGTTGTTCTAATGGGGTTGCAGGTTTTGTATATCTTCCAGTTTCAATTTTGAGTTTATGATTACTTAACCGTAGTTTTGAAAAATGTGATCTATGAGCTTTGTTTTAACAATGAAATAGATAATTTTCGAGTTTCATAGATGACTTGACCAATCTGTATGTTCTTAATTTGTTATTTGAAGTATGGGAATCACTTAATGAATGCTTGAACAGGTCTTCACATTTTTATTCATGGTAGATAGATTACATTTATTCGTGTTCGCTATTTCAAAAGTTTGCTTTATTTTATTAACTTTATGAACCCAGCCTATATTGTGATCACAGAGACTGATATTTGCTTCCATGGCATCTTTAAAGATGATATTTGTTGTGTTATTTATATGGAACTTGTAATCAATTATCGTTTTCATGATTGGTACTAGTAATGGGTACACACCCAGTTCTGCGCGAAGGCCCAGTTATGTGTTTTCTTGCCTACTCCTAGCAATGATTTACAAACCTGAAGCTGTAGCTTTTCTGGGAGCTTTTTTTAGCACTGTAAAATCTACACCCCAGACTTCACAATTGTATAACATTTGTTATAATGATTATGAGCGCATGAGATCTTTGTCGGGACCGAAACAAGTATTTTATGTGAACATAACCCAAACAAACACAAATAAAAGTGAATATGGCAGCAGAAACAACAACAGCAACAACAACAACAACAACAACAACAACGTCAACAACAACGTCAACAATAATATTTATCTCAACAGTATTTATTGGGATTATTTGAGAGAAAAACGCTTTATTCAATAAAAGCTGACTGTAGCCCCTGTTTACAATGTCTTTAACAAGTTCATGTTACATGGTCCACTAGTTACTATATCTGACATGGAGTTAAGGTTAGAAGTTTTTTAGACCAACCGGAATTTTCCAGCGTTGACCGACCCATCGAAAGTTCCAGGACAGAAACTTCTTGGACCTTCCTCAGTACATCATTAGTCATATCCCATTACAAGAGTGAGTGAGTACGTCTCCCGTATTTTGTACTGCCATTGTATTTACTTTTTAATGGTTTTTAATATTTACTTCTAAACATTGCTAATATTAGAGTACAATTGTTAATTATACAAACATTGTTGGTTCCACATTGTATTGATGATCACATTCGTTGTGATCACCAGACATTAGGTAGGCAGGTGGAATCACTCTATAGAGCGTTGAGAAACTATTTCACACATTCAAAACAATACAATAGAATAACAGACAATTGCTGCTAGAAGATGTGTTATGAATCAAGCTACATTTTATAATTAGGATATTTTGCAAACAGATATGACGCAGGTTTGATTCATTCAGTAGAAACATGAGACTATAGAGCATGAAGTTACATGATGGACACACAGTTACTTCCCTTAGACCATACAATCGCCATACGCATACAGATGCATTTCAGTTGTTGAGTTTAAACATGGTCGTTGATATTGAATTGGTATGTACATCTATAGGGTGAAATGCTCATCGGCACATTGTATTTAGTTACCTTTCATGATTACCGCTATCAAGTATAAGAGTTGTTTTGTCGTGTGACAACAGCTGTCATCGATGTATCAGATAATAGAGGTGTTTCTACAACACGAGGTACAAATGCAGATCTGATGGGTGTTGTGGTCAGCGTATTCACTGCCAGCCCACATGCTACTTTAATGTTGGGATACTGAATATGAAGCCAGGAATGTTTCCTTTCAGAACTGTTGTGTCTGTAATGTAATTCTGGGCGTCTGAAAACGTGAACCGAACTCCATCAGTGGTTACAGTCTGCTTTCCATTTATCCCAATGTAGCCTCTGTATTTCTTGTGACTTACGTAATCCCCCAGCCCCCCCGTAACGCCCTGCCATCCTGTGATACAAGTAAGCCTCCTGATCCCTGAAACCCATTGCCACATAGACAGTGTATGTGCTGCCTGGCTGCAGTAGTACCGGCTGAGAGAAGAAGGTGTCAGTCATCTGCCCACGCCCGAGAAGCTGCACCTCGGTCTCCAGTGGTTCAATTATATGTGCGCCATCTTTGACATGCAGTGAAATACTCACTGGAACCTTCGTGTCATCATATCCACCATACAGCTGACAACCTTTCAGTTGAATCCTGTGATCGACAGAAAACGAGATAGCATGGCTTTCTGCCCCACTACATTTTACAAGTGACACAGATGCAAATCTTTGGACGTATTTACAAATATGTATGTGCTTTCGGTTTAAACCTACAAATGGGGAAATGTCAACAGTAGAGTCAATAGATCTGTCAATAATTTTAACTCTCTCCTCCACTGTCAGTAATCCAGATGGGCCCACAACCTTCACTAGATACTCCAGGGGCAGGCTGGTAAACCGGATCTCATATCTCATGTCACCCAAGAGTCTTCGTCTGTTCTCAGGCTTGTCACTCACACCTTCCTTCCGGCATCTTTCCTTTGTCCAGGACAGCACTGCTTCAAATATATCTTCCTCTTTGAGGTTAAGCGTGTCCGATTTCAGGAACTTCCCCAGACAATCAGAACAAAGACCCACAAATCCTGGAGACTTGGTGACTCTCTCCCCTCCTTCTGTCAGGATCTTCAGGGCCTTCTGTTCAAAGTCCAGCTCCCCGTAACCATGACACTCCTCCAGGATCTGGCAGACTTTGTCTTCTGAGAGGGACTCCTCCAGGAAAGTTACACAGAGATCGTACAATGTATCAAGAGAGTATTTCCTGGATGTGTACATTAGTCCCGTGACTGTTTCAGCGTTGATTCGGGCCTTGTCTGTGTACATATACCTACAATAAATCATAATGGTTTATTTGGAGACACAATTGTTCTTGTGAATCACCGCTCTTTTAAACATTACTTCCCATAAATATTAGAAGTCACATCGGGGAGGATGTGGGTGTTGAAGATGGAGGGGTAATGGAATATTTCTGTATTTTCAGCAACACATTCTTCAATACTTGCAGCTTAGCTATAGATGATATTGGTACATACTTTGTTCCTTGATTTTTGCTACACTGAACTTCAACTTGATATTCAACAGTTTACACTTATTATTGCAGTGCGCTATAACCTATACTCACGAATTTAACCTGCTAAGTAATAACTGAGATAACGCATGTAATTCTGGATCCGTTTCAGCCACATTTCACAGTATAAATGCTACAATGCCTGTTCACATGTATAGTAGGGCTGGGACAGGTCCATATTTTCTACCCGGGTACCCCACCTCCTATTACCCTACCATACCCGGATACCCGTTATGTTAATTCCTGACATCGAAGTTGTAAGAAATGGCAATATATTTTGCAATTCGGAAGTTTAAATTTCGAGTTTTTCAATATCTAAATCATGCATCATATTCAAAACAGGTGACAGTAAATTATGTCTAAATCTTCAAAGACAGCACAACCTATTAATCATGAAAGAATAACATATTATATTGTTTAATGAATTAGTCACATGATCATAACAGGTCCGGGTATTGAGACGGGTACCCGGGTCCAACTGATTACCCATCCGTCCAGGGTATCCGGGTTACCCGTCCCAGCGCTAATGTATAGCTTGTAAAAATTTCACTAAGTGAAGGTGTCCGTTCCCACTTGGGCGTTGCCTTCAATATCGATTGTAGCTACCATGAGCCCCCAAAACGTTTCTGCACCGTCTCGGCATGGACTGAATAAATCTTTGAATTCGACCTTGTGGAATTCTGGTCCATTCCCCTTGCAATGCCAGCGAAAGTTAATCTAACGTCTGGAACGCTGACGTTCAAGATAAACGTGAACAGTGGCATTTGCTGTGCGAGGCCTGTCATTATCTGTACCGAATCCCTCTGAAGGTCAGGATCGCACGAAGTTAAAGATTTCGTCTTTATGTGTGGCGCACGAAGTTAGATTTCTGTGTGCAGGATATGGCTCCTCACATCATGAAGCTATCCCACATGACCACCATATCGGTCAACCTTGCCAACACAATTCTGTTCAAAATGTTCATTTCGACGTCGATAGGCACGTACTCTTCCGTCACGGCACTGAAGCAGAAAGCGTGATTCGTAACCATACACGTCGCCAGTTTGTAGATTTCAGCATCGAACACTATTGCACCTCTGGACCCGTCGATGTAGTCGTCGCACTACAGAGTCAAAATAGGGTCTTCTGGCTCGAAGTCCAGCTTGTCGTAAACGATTACGAATGGTTTGCGCCGACGCTATCCTAAAACCGATTCCGCAAATGATGTACCGGGATGTACCTACCCTTCGCTGCATTGGTAATCCGAGGTCTACCACGTCGAGACTGATCTTTCGTAGAATCGGTTTGTTGTTATCGGTCCCATAAACGACTGATGGTACTCTGGTGAACATTGAGGTCATATGCAACGGCATATTGAGACTCTCCAGCCTCGAGTCTCCATTGACAGCAGTGATTCGCGGCATAACTATATTCTTTCATTGATCTAAAAAAAATGCGAATGACCGTCTAAAACCAAAACCCCCTTATACAGGCAATGTCCCTGCTCACGATTCCTCAGACCTGCACTTGCAAATTTTCGAACCACGTTTCCTCCATGACATTTTCATGCAAGTTGGCACTTTAATTTCGAACGTAAACGTGCATTAAATTTTCCGAAGATGCGGTCTTTGCTCTGTCATTCGTATACAAACCAACATTTTAATGACGACATTATAACAATGAAACACTAATTTTGAAATATATATGAAATTTCATGTACTACTATCACTTCTGCGTTTCCTTTTTTTTGGTGGGTGGGGGTGGGGTTGCTGTTTATATGTAAAGACTGACTGAAAACTAAACATCATTATAAAACGGTGTCCACAATGCCATGTCGTAGCTTGACATTTATGATTAAACAACTTAGTTGGCAGTTTCTTACATAGATTGTGACAATGATATCTGCCTAGCGACTATGGAAGGTATTTTTATTTGGTAATAAATGAATTGTAAAATTGGTAGATTAAACACACCTTAAGAATTCCTTGAAGATGTCTGCCTCAATATCAGGGATGGTTACCTCCCCTTTTTCCGCCAGGGGGGCCACAGAACATGGCATGGAACACACAGCTGCGACTGACAAGAACATAGCGGTGAGCTCGGACCACCTGTTGCTGTGATCCCACCCGGAAGGTGACGTCACTGAAGTCTTCGGTTTCGAGCATGCGCAGATTACACTGTGTAAGAGTCTTCCTTGCCTGCCAGTTGTCCACATACCCAGATTCTTGTCTTTTAGCGGACATCGTGTAGTTCTGAACAGATAAATCGAGAGTATATATATATATATCACTGAGTGGTTGGTGAAACATTGAATATATATAAGTAAACCAAGTAGGGTAAACATGATCCGATTACAACTAAGAAAAGAAATTCACCTCACCACATTTCATTGTTCCAGCAATCCTTAACAGATGATGTATTGAGAAATTACTGACATCTTCAATTATTTTGAATATATTTTGAACTGAAATGAAGATATCTTGAATAGAGATTCAAGGGCGAGTTTGTAAACAAACATTATCAAAAATCTGTCAGAATTGATGACAGAAGTACATGGTAACTAGTGGTGATCCGATTAATTGAAATAATCGAAGATTGGTCCCCAGTGGCAAGCGTCCTCGTGCTTTAACTATAATAGTTCAGGGCAAAAGTGTGTTTTATTACACTATACATGGTGGTAGGGCGAACTGTATTTCTTTTCTAAGATGCCAAATTTAATACTTTCTAAAGATAATTACGATTAATTTAAGGCAGAAAACAAGCGACGGTGTCGGTGACCTAAATTAAGAATCCTCGCACAGGACTAACTGGCGCGCTGTTCTATTGATGTGTCTGCCCCCTACGTTACAAGAAAAAACCCCAAATGATAACAGTTTGATGACGGTTTACGTTCGGATTAAATATCTTCTCTGAATTATCTTAATTACATCTGTCATTAACGTAAATCATATTGGGCAATATGAACGTTGCATTTCTACTACCAGCGTAAGTTTAGATCAGTACATCCAGAGGAAGTTGAGTAGTCAAGCGACATTCCACAATTGCATTGTGGGAATGTAAACATTACGAACGTTACCGTGTCGCTGAAAACTTGTGAGTCGAAATGACACATTTTAACCGTCGTAAAACATAAACGTAATGTTTCCACCAGTGATGTTAGCTGCGTGAAGCAACAGGAAACCAAGAAACTGGATGCAACGGTGTAGTTTACTGTAGGAGGCCGTACGAGGCGATGACAACTGACATGCATCGTGACGTCGCTTACATTGTGACGTAATGTAAAAATGGTTCGATTACGAGGGGGCACACTAGAATGGCGCAATGACGGGATAACGTCATTCAATAGACCGATCCAGTCTGTCAATCAAAACTGGCGCATGCGTCAATTTTGGCCAATCAGCAGGCCGGGCGCGCAGTGTGGATTTGTCAGACTTATTTCCGGGGTCAAACGATGCATCCGAAGCGATGTGCTTCGAATTATGCCATTTACACTCGCTATATTTATTACATATTGCTGCGATTTGATGTGTACCTTAACAAAACCATTGCGGTCAAGACAACAAAAATGGAGGCGGATCAAGAAACGCAATAGGCCTAACGATCAGTTAAATGTCTGCACCATCGTTCAGGAAACCTACGTCTGCCTGCTGATGAGAATTTGCACGAATTTCCACACTTTTGCACATGTGCAAAATCATTACCAATTGATGACAACAAATAGCAGTTTATGACTTTGCAAGTGTTACAAACACGGACAATTCTTGTAACTACAAAATTGTTTTTGCTTAACGTTTTTAGTCACTACTAGGCATTGAGTTGATACGCCATAAAGCTCAAATGAGACAGGCGAGAAAGCCGTGACACAATGTAAATGATCCTTATTTCGGTTAGGGTCAACCGAAATAGCAAAACTTGTTACATGAAAGAACAATGTGGCGGATATTGTCCCCCTTCGCTCTAAGATATTCTTCAATTTGTCACACATTTTAGGATGTTTTAAGTTTCATAAGCACAATCTGAAGGCCTACAGTATCTTGTTAACAGAGCAAAATATTCGAGGAGTAATATTTTTTATTCAAACGGAAATATTGTCAGTGTCAGCAGTTGCCTATCATGCAATATCCAAGTATCAAAATTAGTTCATATGAGTACCTATAAAACCATGCTTTAAATATTTCAGATTTTTTATAAAGAGTTGCATGGGACTTTGAACTGAATTATATTCCATGTTGATGGAATACGAAAACTATGTGAGAAGAATAGTGACTTTATGGAGTATTGGACGGAGTGAAATAAAGTGTATATCTTAATTATGAGTACATTACTACAGTATTTGAAGTTTTGTTGCAACATAAATTATTCACATATAATGGTACATTTTAGGAGTAATATTACAACTGTAATTTTGATTAATTCACTGGAAATGATAGCAAGGTATGTTTTAAGAATCTTGCTTTTTTGTAAACGCGTGGAAGGGTAATAAAATTAATAATAATCTAATCAATAATCAATAATAAATAATTATTTAATTGATTGACATATCAGATTTTTTTAGATTTTAAGGCAGAACTAGGCAAACAAACACCATACATATCATGGATGGACAATCACTTAGTATTAACTTGGCTCCTGCTTTTAGATGTTTTTTTAAATACTACATTTACTAATAAGATAATTCTGAAAGTGATTGCTAGTATCATAACTCATTAAAGTTATTTCAACATCCAGAAAATTTGAAAAAGCAAAGGCTACGTTTTGATCAAACCCTGGTCAGGCATTAT